AGGCTTTTTCTATTATGTGCCTTAGAATTCTTCCAGACTCTACCCATTATCCAACTCTAATGCCACATCTACATTTTTGGTGATTTGTTACAGTCGTATCTCACTTCTACATGCCCAAAATATGTATGAGTTTCCTATTGCTATTATAATAAATCACCACAAACTTAGGGACTTGAAACAATACCAATGTATTCTCTTACACTTTTGGAGGTCAGAAGTCTGAAATCGGTTTAACTGAATTAAAGTCAAAGTGTCAGCAGTGCTGATTCCTTCTGGAGGCTCAAGGGGAAATTCCATTTTTATTTATTTATATTTATTTATTTATTTATGCTTTTTTCAGTTTCTAGAGGCTACCTATATTCCTTGACTTGTGGTCCCTTCCTCCATCTTCAAAACATAACTCTCTTATCTCTGCTTCCAGTATCACATCACCTTTTCTCTGTAGAACATCTTCTCTGCCTTCCTGTTATGAAAACACTGAAGAGTAACTGTATGGCCCACACAGACAATCCAGAATAATCTCCCCATCCCAGTATCCTTAATCTGTGCACATCTACAAAGTCCCTTTTGCCATGTAAGTAACATAGATAGGTTCTGGGATTTTGGACTTTGTTATTTTGGAGTTCTACTATTCAGCCTACCATAGTATATTAAGAGGATAATATATCATGCCTAAGTAATGTTTATCCTAGACATGCAAATTTATTTTTAACATTCAAATACAAACAAATAGAATTCACTACATTAACAACAACAAAAAAAAAATGGCATATGATTGCCTCAACAGATGCAGAAAAAAAGTGACAATATCAATATCCATTTGATTTTTAAGAAAATCTCAGCAAACTAGGAATAGAAGATAACATCCTCAGCATGACAAAAACCATCTACCAAAAATATAGATAACACTATTGAGTTAAATGTATTTTCACCTAAGATGGAAACAACAAGATTTTTGATTTTTTCATGAGTTTTTGCAATATTTTCGAGCGTCTGGGCCCAATGCCAAGGAAAGAAGAAAAGAAAGAAAAGGAGAGAGGAGAGAAAGAAAGAAGAGAGAGGACGAGGAGAGGAAGGAAGGAAGAAGAAAGGATAAAGAAAGAGGAAAGGAAGAAAGGAAGAAGGAAGAGAAGAAGGAAGGAGGAAGGAAGAAGGAAGTAAGAAGGAAGAAGAAGGAAGGAAGGAAGAAGGAAAGAGAGGGGAAAAGAAGAAGAAAGAAAGAAGAGAAGGAGGAAGGAAAAGGAGGAGAGAGGAAAGGAGGAGGAGGAAGGAGAAGGAGGAAGGAAGAAGAGGAAGAAGAGGAAGAAGGAAGGAGAGGAGGAAGATAGGAAGGAAGAGGAGGAGGAGTTGGAAATGAAGGGAAACTATCTTTATTCACAAGTGATTTGATTATGAAAACATGAAATATACAAAAAGGTGTTGAAACTAATTAATTTAGCACAGTTGCATGATACAAGATCAATAAATACAGATCAACTATATGTTTATATAGTTGCTTAAACAATTAGAAATTTAAACTTTTTTTAAATTAATTATTATTTTTTTTGAGATGGAATCTCGCTCTGTCTCACACGCTAGAGTACAGTGGTGCAATCTCGGCTCACTGCAACCTCTGCCTTTCGGTTTCAAGTGATTCTCCTGCTCAGCCTCCAGAGTAGCTAGGATTATAAGTGTGTGCCACCACGCCCAGCTAATTTTTGTATTTTTAGTAGAAATGGTGTTTCGCCATATCGGCCAGGCTAGTCTTGAACTGCTGACCTCAAGCAATCTGCCCACCTCAACCTCCCAAAGTGCTGGGATTACAAGCATGAGCCACCGCACCTGGCCAGAAATTTAAACTTTAAACAGTATTATTTGAAATAGCATAAAAAAATACAAAGTACTTAGGCATAAATCTGATTTAACAATTTATAAGACCCATACACTGAAAATTCTAAAAAACTGATAAAAGAAAGTAATGACCTAAAGATATGAAGAGATACATCCTCTTCATGAGTCAGAGACTCAGTATTAAGATGTTCATTTCTCCAAATTCATCAATAGGTTACACATAAATCTTCTCAAGATTTCAGAAGGCTTTTTTTTGGAGAAATTGACATACTGATTATAAAACTTACATGAAAATTAAAAAGACATTTTATAGTCAAAACAAATTTGAAAAAGAAGAATACAGTTGGATGGCTAATACTATCAAATTTCAAGATTTATTTAAAAACTACAATATGGGCTGGGCACAGTGGCTCAGGCCTGTAATCCCAGCACTTTGGGAGGCCGAGGAGGACAGATCATGAGGTCAAGAAATTGAGACCATCCTGGCCAACATGGTGAAACCCCGTCTTTACTAAAAATATAAAAACTAGCTAGGCCTGGTGGCACGTGCCTGTAGTCCTAGCTACTCGGGAGGCTGAGGCAGGAGAATCGCTTGTACCTGGTAGGCGGAGGTTGCAGTGAGTCAAGATTGCGCCACTGCACTCCAGCCTGGCAACAGAGCGAGACTCCATCTCAAAAAATAAATAAATAAATAAATAAATAAACAAACAAAACCTACAATATGAAGCTGCTAATGTGTTAGTATAAAGATAAACAAGTATATCAAAAGAACAGAGTAGGAAATTCAGAAATAGATCCACCCTTATATTGACAACTGGTTTTTGACAATCGGAAGTGCAAAGATAATTTAATATAGAAAAGATAGTCTTTTTAATAAATAGTGCTAGAATTGGATATTCATATGCAAAAATATGAATTTCACTTGCAATATATATGAAATTAACTCAAAGTGGATAATTTACCTAAATATGAAATCTGAAACTATGAAACTTTTATAAAAATATATAATAAAAATCTTTGTGACCTTGGATTAGGCAAAGGTTTAGCTATGACACAAAAAGCACAATTTATTAAGGAAAAAATTGATGAACTTCATCAAAATTAAAATCTGCTACTTTTTAAAAGATACTGTTAAAAGAATAAATAACAATTCACAGGCTAGAAGAAAATATTGGCAAGGTATATTTCTATTAAAGAACTTGAATCTAGAATATTAAAAAAAAACTCTCAAAACTCAATAATAAGAAAGCAACCCAATAAAGAAATGAACAAAATATTTGAACACACTTCTCACCCACAAAGATATACAGATGACCAATAAGCACATGAAAAGACATTCATAGTCATTAGAGAAATGAAAATTCAAACCACAAAGAGGCATCACCGTACACCTATTCAATTGACTAAAATTAAGTAGACAGACAATACTAAGTGTTGACAAGGATGTGGAACAATTGAAACTCTCATACAAGGCTAGTGGTAATATAAAATTATACATCACTTTGAAAATCAGTTGGACTGTGTCTTAAATGTAAATCATACACTAGAGCTGTCTTAAAAACTGACAAGAAAAAATGGAAGAGAATTTATTCTCCCACATAATTGCAAAATCCAGATTAATTACACTTCAGGCAGTTCTGAATCCAGGTGCTCAGGACTCAAGTTACTTTTTCTATCTCTTGCTTTGTTTTCCTACACAGTTTCTCTCTACATGATGAATTCCAGAAGTGCTTGGTTTACATTCTACCAGCTTAGCAACTCCAGCAAAAAGAGCTTCTCTTTTCCAGTGGTTCTAGAGAATATCCTGGAATTGGTCTCATTAGTTTGGCTTACTTTGTACACACATTTCTTAGCCAGGGGAATACAAATTCCTTAGCCAGGGGAATAAAAAGCCCTGATTCACTAGGATTCAGTTAAATATACCTCCACATTCCAAAGAAGCATCATTCCACTCAATCCACACGAACTGACTCAGGTGATAGAAAAAAGTTCCCTCAAAGTTAAAGTGCTATTATCATAAGATGGGGCAATGGTTGTTGTGCAACATTAATTACTGAACAAAATTTTCTCAACCGGTAACTGATTGGGAAATGTCTTTTCTAGTCAGACGTATGTATCAATGCTATCTGGCATTGGGCATTGATAGTTTGTTCTACTCACTCTTCTTGGGAGAGCTCAATACACTAAAAAATGAAAAGTATTTGTTATTCTCTGGCCACTACAACTGTCAATCTGTGATCATGTTACCTTTTTTTTTTTTATCTGTCAAAACAAGTTATTCAGAGCTTCAGATGGATGCCCCTTCCATAGACACCTTGCAAGTGCACCAAGCACACTGCATTGACTTAATTATGAAAAGCAAGTAGGGAAGTTTTCTATGACTACCAACCCAGACATCTCTCCTTCTCTGTTGCACTGACCTTCAGGGACAGGCCTTCTTTTGAATCTTTTCGGTCCTTTGCAATTCTTCCCTCACTTTAGTAATTTTTTATCAGAAATAGGCAAGAGTGTGGAAAGCTGTAGTATTTTCATAACCATAAAAGGCTATCTGGTGGAAGGTCGTCTGACTCTTTGCCTGCTTTCTATTGCTAAACTGCACAACATTTATTAAAACATCCCAAAAGCCAAATAGACTGATTGCTGGCACCAAGTTAATTTAAAGAGCTCAAGTAGAAAGATTACAGAACTGGAGAGCAATGAGAGCCACTTTCTGAGGAAAACTAAACAACCAGGAAAATAGTGGAAGTTTCGTAACTCTGCTTAAAGCCATGCAAATGAATGGGGCTTATTAAATATTTCTGGCACTTAGTCCTTTTGAATTGTGCCATATAAAAAGCAGCATTAGCAATGACTTACTAATATAAAAATCTATATGAGAGATATTAGCAAGAACTTACTAATCATTAGAGTTTGAAGCTGCTATATGGTTATATTAACAACTGCCTATTCTATTTCACAGAAGTCATTTCTATTTGAGTTCTTAAAGTCTGCTCTAGTTAACAAAAAAAAAAGTTCAAGATTTTCATGTACATGTTCATTGCTTTCTAAGTCATCTCTTAATGGGCTAGATTCTATTATTTCATTCAAAAAAATTCTAGACCATTCTGCCTGACTTTCAACAAAGGGTTAAAGTAGTAACACGAGGGAGTTAGTTGGTACCTTCCACTAACCTCTACTGCTCTCTCTGGCACTGCTTGATGAGGACCATGGATATTTGCTGACTCTCAGGTAATGGGCTATTCAGCTGCTGTTTTAAGCCTGATCGTTCCACTAGTTCATCCTATAAAAAAAAATCAGAGGCTGTCAGCAGGTGGATTTAAGCATTGCAATGAGTTTAACAGTTTTGAAAACACATTCTTTTTACTGTTTTTACAGTTTAAAGAGCTTATGCATTATTGCCTCTTACTTGAATTCTTTTTTGCTTTATAGAAAAACCTCATTTCAATAAAATTATGACAGACAATTTTGCCTCTATCCAGGAAGAAGCTGGACTACCTTGAATTTCATAAAAATTTTATATATTCTATATGTGCAGTTGGCATTTTTACGTCCTTTTTAGCAGTTTAGAGAAAACTCCACCAATATTCTCAAGTCCACCTAGCTAGTAAGTGAAAGAACAGAAACTTGGATTCAGGTTTTCTGAGCAAGTCCACCAAGCTTTCCACCTTTACTCAAAAAAATAATAAGGACCACTATATTTGCGTAACACTTGGAAATACCAATAGCAGTTCACGTGCATGATCTCATTTGATCTTAAAGTGTATTAAGTGTGAAGTAAGCAGGATAAGGTATTGAGGCTCCATTTTACAGATGTGGAAACCAAGACCCTAAGCAATGACGGTGGGAGGGTTAAATGATTTACCTAAGATCACACAGCTTTCAAGTGGCTAAGTGAAATCGAGAAGCCAGGAACTAGAACTCTGCACTCACATCATTGCCTAGCTCTACAACAATAGCTTATTCATTGTTTTTCATTCAAATTCTTTCTCATTTTATCTGATTAAATTTTTGATAAACAGATTTTCCTCCATGAGGCAAGAAAACTGAACTACTTTGGGTTTTATGAGGATTTCAGAATATTTTTATAGGGAAAAAGCTTCTGTTGAAGAACTGTATTTGACAAAATCCAGAAAAATAAATTCTGCAGTGATTGTGGCTGTGGTGGTGGTGATGATGATGATGATGATGATGATGATGAAAAATAAGTGTCAATTATTTCCAATGTGTTTGTTAATTCAGCTTTAGCTTTTCAATCATGAAAATTTATATCCACCTTGTTTATAATGTTAGTGTATTTTTTTAATTTTTAAGAGAATTAATGATTTTATTGTGAGCACTATGGATTAACATTTGAGAGGTTTCTTTTAACAATCCATTAAGTTTTTATTTTTAAAAATTATTCAGAAAAAAATATAATAAAATACTTTGTAAGCATAGAAAGGATCATTCAATGTGTATACACTCATTTCATTTTTGACATGGAGATTAAATAAAAGTTATTTTTAAATGGATTGTTAAATATTGTGTCAGAACAGTTTCTACTTAATTTCTCACTATAATGAAAAAAAATATTGTTTACTTTGGCTCTAAGTGGTATAACATAGAAATCTAAACACTCTTGAAAGATACCTGATTTAGTAGGAAGATAGTGGATAGATTGTCTGCATTGAACAATAATACAACTGTGACTTAGAGATTTAAAAAATTATCTGCAAATGTTAACATTAGTCAATATGAAGACATTCACTGAAAGATAATGAGGAGATAACATTCCCTCTTTTCTGGAAAGTAAGTTTCTTGTCAAAATAAAGTCTTATTTGTACTGAAAAGGTGTGTGTGTGTGTGTGTATGGTAACACTTTGCCAACTACTGGGTACAATTCATGTGTATAGCATCTTTAAAATTATTACCCCATGAGAGAGTTAAAATTATATCAATTGTTTGGTTTCCTTTAGCCTTTAGTGTCTGATTACTAGACAATAGAGCTTCATGGATAATAAAAATGCAATTTCCAATAAAAAATTTAAAAAAAACTCTAGCTGTGCCAAAGTTCTGAGGGTTTCATGTTGTGCAACAAAGCCACTGGCTTTCAAACAGTGCCACAACTCCAGCACCTTGTGCCAGATACTACATTTACTCAAGGTCATTTAGACAAAAGTAATGAAAAATATTAAAGCAATGTTTACATAGCAGATATGCAATATCAATCATGTTATGTACATTGGTGATAAGAGTAAGAAGTTGATTGTTTGGGAGAAAAGTTACATTTTCTCCTAAGTAGTGGAAAATTACCAGTACACACTATGTTGGCATTTTCTACCTAACTTTATTCCTTTATTTTTTTTCATGCAGCTCCACTGTAAACCATTATGATAATTATTATAATATATATGCACACATACAAATACATATAATCAGAAATGTTTTCTAGAAGTGATCTGAAAGCCAAAGAAATATGGTGATAAACTATAAATTATACCTTATTCAGTCTATTTCTCTGATGAGATAAAAGGGCAAAGTGTGTGAGCAGTAATTATGCACAGGAAATGCTTATTAGAAATGCCTCAAATGGCAGACCACTATCCAATCTTACTCTTCCTGATCTTACTCTAACAAATTCTATAGGATTCTAACTGCAAGTGAATATTGCTCAGTTCATCTTAACAATATATCATAAGCCTGAGCTCCACCAATAGGTTCAAGCTGAGACATGTCTTGTGGCCCCAAATGTGGTTTCCTTTGAAACCCACTGAGCTATAGCTGCCCCTGAAACACCTCTATGTTTGCTCACCTCCTATGCTTTGCCTTCATGTTAGTGGATAGTTTTTCCTATTAGTTTATTCAGCAACCATAAATACGTTGGTCCCCCTTAATTTCCCAATCCAAAAACATCCTTTTTGTGCCCTTCTTTAGCTCCTGACCACCTTATTTCTTATTTCCCAAAACTAAAGTATCATTCCATTCAGAAGGTTATAAATTAATATTAAGTCCATTCCACCACAACTATATCCTGTATCCATTATTCATACTTCCAGTTACTCCAGTTTCCTTTCCCTTGAAAATATTTTTAATTCCCCACTAGAGGAGCAAATAAGCATTCCAAGATTAACAGAAACTTACCTATCCTCGAAGGGAATGACTAACCTTCGCTACCATTCGTTGCCCATTTTAACCAAAAGTAATGTCACTATTTTTACCCAATTATTCATTTTCTTGGAATTTACAGAATTTTTACAAATGGGAAATGAGTGCCAGAGAACACCAAAGCAAAAAAATGGAGTAAGTGATCAAGCGGATTTCACCAAATTAGGCAGTCTAACTTCGAGAGTTTGTGCTCACATCCTGCCTTTCAAAAGAAAAGGCAACCTGGTACAAAGTTATTATTGGCTTGGGTGTCTCTAAGTGAACGAACCAAAGAATATTAGTCATCCTTAGGATAAACAGATCCTATTCCCCCAAAATTCACCACCATTGAAGCCCTAACCTCTTGTACCTCAGGTATACAGTATGTTGGAGTTTTATACTTAATGTTAGCATTTAAAAAAAGAACCTCAGAATATGACTGGGCATTTGGTGATAAGGTCTTCAAAGGGTAATTAAGTTAAAATGAGGCCATCAGGGGGCCAGGCGCGGTGACTCAAGCCTGTAATCCCAGCACATTTGGGAGGCCGGAAACGGGTGGATCACGAGGTCAGGAGATCGAGACCCGTCCTGGCTAACACGGTGAAACCCCGTCTCTACTAAAAAAATTATAAAAAACTAGCAGGGCGAGGTGGGCGGGCGCTGTAGTCCCAGCTACTCGGGAGGCTGAGCCAGGAGAATGGCGTGACCCAGGAGGCGGAGCTTGCAGTGAGCTGAGATCCGGCCACTGCACTCCAGCCTGGGCAACAGAGTGAGACTCCATCTCAACGGCCATCAGGAGAGAGACCTTAGGAAAAAAATCACCTTGATCTTGGACTTCCAGGCTCCAGAACTGTAAGAAATAAATTTCTGTTATTTAAGTCACCCAATCTGTGGCATTTTGCCATGACAGCCCTAGCAAACTAACCACAGTTCTCATGGTAAAGACTGTTGGATCTCCTACCTATTCATTTGGGATTAGTTATCTTGAGGCCATTGTCAGGCTCAAGGCTCATTAATGCAATTCTTTTTTCTCCCTAGGCTTGAGGTATGACTTCTTTAGAGCTTATTATATTAACCAAATCAGGATAACTTATATTAAATCTTCAAGTATTTTCTTTAGGCACAGGAGACCATATTAATGTATGGGACTGGAAATAGGGATACAAAATAAACAGGAGAGAGATGTCTACAGCATACCCGATGAGTTTGGCACCCTCTTGGTTTGTGAGCCAAGCATCACAGAGCTTGGCTTAGCACACCCCAAGGCTTAGTGCTAAACTAATGCTTGGGGTGCTACACTAACGACAGGCATTGGAGCTGAGTTCATAAGCATGTGAAAGAGTTGAGCATAATTAATCATTCTAATACTTTATAGTTACAGCATAGTAGTTAAGAAAGCAAACAGGAGATACACTGCCTGGGCTCAAATCTGGGATCCTTCACTTACTAAGTGGGACATTCAGCAAGTTATTTAAATTCTCTGCCTCTCAATTTTTAATGTCTTAAATAGGAAGGGTTGTTATGAGGATTAACTGAGTTAATGCATTTACAGAGTTTCAATACCTCTAGCACATAGTAAAGGCTCAATATATGTTAATATTATTGCTTTGGTACAGAGGTACAACATTTGCAAGTTTCCTTCCTTTATTTATTACATACCCACCTATATGAACAGAGCAGAATTCATATTTTTGTGACATCCGATTCCATTATATGAATATAGATATGGAGCTATTTCTGCTATCAAAAGATTTGGTAGATTCAAAAAGTTTCTATAAATGGTGATTGTTTTATTGAGAAACTAACTGTTTAGCTTTCCAACATATTGTCAATCTGTCATTCATTTAACAGTCATTCATTATGCATTTACTACGTGCTAGGCAATGCTATAGGCAATGTAAACACAAGAGAGGATAATACAAATCCTGTCCTTGGAGTTTGAATTCCATAGTCTAATGGAAAAAATAGATATGAAAACAAATAACTATAAATATGCATCTAACACATTTAACGAACACTTAGTAGATTTTCAGTATTTACTGAATGAATGAATGAGTGCTTGGATAAAGTTATAAAATGGGAGAAAAAAAAATCAACAGAGGAAAAGAAAAATTTAGAGGCAGCAAATAACTCAGCCTAAAGAATTAAGCAACACTT